CATACATTGATGTTTCTCTCCCTCTCTCCTTCCAAAGATAAATAAAATATTTAAAAAATAATAAAGAACTTCCCCAATCTGGCAAAGGACATAGACTTACTTCCAGGAAGTCCAGGAAGCTCAGAGTCCCAAAGAAGTTGGACCCAAGAAGGAACACACCAAGGCACATCATCATTACATTAGCCAAGGTTAAAATGAAGGAGAGAATTCTAGAAGCAGCAAGAGATAAGGGGACAGTCACCTACAAAGGAGTTCCCATCAGACTGTCAGCTGATTTTTCAAAAGAGACCTTACAGGCAAGAAGGGGCTGGAACCTGGAAAGAAGTATTCCAAGTCATGACAGGCAAGGACCTACAACCAAGATTGCTCTATCCAGCAAAGCTTTCATTTAGAATGGAAGGGCAGATAAAGTGCTTTTCAGCTAAGGTCAAGTTCAAGTTCATAATCACCAACCCCTTATTATATGAAATGTTAAAGGAACTTATCTAAGAAGATAAAAATATGAACAGTGAAAGGACAGCAAACCCACAGTTAACAACCACAGCTAAATCAAAAGCAAACTAAAAGGACAGCTAGATCAGGAGTGGAACCATAGAAATGGAGATCACATGGAGGGTTAGCAACAGGGGAGTGGAAGAAGGGGGAGAAGGTACAGAGAATAAATACCATAGACAGTAGGTAGAAAATAGGGGGGGAGGGCAAGAATAGTATGTGAAATATAGAATCTAAAGAACTTGTGACATATGGACACAAACTAAAGGGGGGATGGTGGGGGAGGGCTGTGCAGAGTGGAGTGGAATGAAGGAGGGAAATGGGACAACTGTAATGGCATAGTCAATAAAATATATTTTAAATAAATATTTTTTAAATGTCCCTTCAAAATGGTCACAGGGATATAAAGTACCACATAGGGAATATAGTCAATAATATTGTAATAACTATGTATGGTGTCAGGTAGGTACTAGATTTATCAGGGTGATCACTTGGTAACTTATATAAATGTATAATCAAAGCCCTGGCTGGTGTAGCTCAGTGGATTGAGTGTGGGCCTGTGAACCAGACAATCACGGTTCGATTTCCAGTCAGGGCACATACCCGGGTTGCAGGCCGGTTCCCTGCAGGCCACTTCCCAGCAGGGGACACATGAAAGGCAACCATACATTGATGTTTCTCTCCCTCTCTCCTTCCCTTCCCCTCTAAAGATAAATAAAATCTTAAAAAAATGTATAATCACTGTTGTACAGCTGAAACTAATACTGTATGTCAACTGTAATTGAAAAATTAATTTTACTTTAATAGGATAATTTGAGTAAAGAATCAAGCCTTCAAAAATTTTCTATACATCACACTGCTGGAAAACAAAAACATGTAAATAAAAAATTTAAGAAGTTAATGAGAAAAGTGGTGTTTGCAGATTATCTTTTTCTTTTTTTTTTTTAAGATTTTATTTATTTATCTTTAGAGGGGAAGGGAAGGAGAGAGGGAGAGAAACATCAATGTATGGTTGCCTTTCATGCATCCCCTGCTGGGAACTGGCCTGAAGGGAACCGGCCTGCAACCCAGGCATGTGCCCTGACTGGGAATCGAACTGCGATTGTCTGGTTCGCAGGCCCGTGCTCAATCCACAGATTATCTTTCTTAACGGATAACTAAATTCTCTTACCTAATCCTGCAGTCTGTTGTGATTTCATAGCCTTAGAACTACTTAGATATGCTACTACATACTATTAAGTCAAGTTCAAATTAGGAGTAACCAGATGTCAGTAATTTAAACAAGGAAAACTTAAGTACCTACTACATTACCTCTGGACCTGAGGACATAATGAACAAATCATTCTCTTAGCTGACATTCAGACCTAAAAAACCGCCCTTTCTCTTGGTGCAATTTCACCCTAATTCCAGGGGTAATGAGGACATTTGTTGCTTCCCATCTTTTTCAGACATTTGCTATGGCTTGCATAATGGCTTTATTATTAACCTAACATACGATATATTTGTCTACCAACAGATTAATCTTCAGAATTTAGAACAGTGTTCAGCACATATATATCCAGTCAATTTTGATTTAAGTGTCAAAATATCCTTTTGCTTTTTTCAACCATTTAAAAATGCAGAAATTTAGCTCATAGGCCGTACAAAAACAGGCAGCATAACAGTTTGTCAACCTCTGATTCATGTGATGTGATTCATACTTGTATTGAGGAAGAGCATATAAAGATGCTATTTATTTTAAAACAATGTGCTACTCTCAAGCACCAGGATGACACATGCACACTTTCTATAACAGAAGGCATAAAAGCCACTAGCCACACTTGGAGGTATGTAATTACAATTAAATAAAATTTTTTAAAAAATCAGTTCCTGCAGCTTTCACCAAAGACAAGACTAGCCAAGCTGAGCACCTGCTGTGTGCACCCCTGTGCCATGGCTGGCCTCAAGTCCCTGGAAGTGGTGGAGCAGCAGACGGATGATGCACAGGACCATGAACAGGGCCTAGTGAAAATTGGACAGCAGTGGGAGCAGGGTGAGAAAGCTGAAGGGGATGTGGAAGCTCTCAACGCATGCACCTTGTTGAGGAGTTGGACAGGGCTCAAGAACCACTTGCCCACAGCCCTGCAAAAGCTAGAGGAAGCAGAAAAGGCTGCCAATGAGAGCAAGAGGAATGAAGGTGATAGAAAGCCAGACCATGAAAAATGAGAAGTTGGACATCCAGAAGCTGCAGCTCAAGGAGGCCAAGCACATTGCAGAGGCCGCTGACTGCAAATTACAAGGAGGTAACTTGTAAGTCGGTCATCCTGAAGGGCAAAAGCTGGAGAGGGCAGAGGAGCGTGCTGAGGTGTTGGCACTGAAACATGGTTACCTGGAGGAAGAACTCAAGAATGTCACTAACAACCTCAAGTTACTGGAGGCTGCCTCTGAAAATATTCTGAAAAGGAAAGTAAGTATGAAGAAATTAAACTTCTTTCTGGCAAACTCATCGAGGCTGAGACCTGTGCTCAACTTGCAAAGAACAGTTGCCAAACTGGAAAAGACAATTGATGACTTGGAAGAAAAACTTGCCAACGCCAAAGAGAACGTGGGCTCACATCAGACACTGAATCAGTCACTAAATGAACTCAGTGGTATATAACAAAAACCAGAAGAATCTTCCAGAAGCTCCAGACCTCCATGTACTTCTCTTGTAAGAAGTTCGTTACCGCATCTGTGCAAATTATGAATACCTGGACAAATATTTAGTATCAGAGAAGCTTCGAGCACCAGTTTAATCTAATACCTTCCCTTATTTTCCCAAATGACACCATATTTTTCAGCTCTATTTTTTTTAGATTTATTTTGAGGGGAAGGAAGGAGGGAAAGTGTGGTTGCCTCTAGCACACCCTCTACTGGGGACCTGGCCCACAACCCAGGCATGTGCTCTGACTGGGAATCGAACCAGTGACCCTTTGGTTTGCAGGCTGGCATTCAATCCACTGAGCCACACCAGTCAAGGCTCAGCACTATTTTTATTCTTAAATTTAACTTATTTTTAACCTAGGCAGGATGTTTCTTATTTAACATTATTTTTAAGACTGAAGGTATGTGGTTCCTGGGAGCTTACACAAACCCACACTTTAAAAACACACTCTTAACACCTTGTCACCAGTTGATTTAAAAGCCTGAAGAACATGCCCTGGTTGGTGTGGCTTAGTGGATTGAACACTGGACAACAAATCAAAGGCTCTCTAGTTGATTCCCAGTCTGGGAGCATGCCTGGGTTGCAGGCCAGCCCCCCCCCACCACCACCAGGGGGCGCTCGAGAGGCAATCACATTGATTTTTGTCTCTCCTTCTCCCTCCCTTGCCCTCTAAAAATAAAAATCCTAAAAAAAAAATTATCCTTAAAAAAAACGTTTAAAGCAAAAGGTTTAAGAACAGAACCTGTGGGCCACTGCTGCACATACTACAGGAAGCCAGAGATCATCATACTAAAATGGGTGATTTTCCATCCAGAGCAGAAAAAGGGGGGTTAGGCTATTGTGGGAAGCCATAAACCAGATACATTAACCTAAGCATTCCCTTTTCTACACTCTACTATGTAGAACATCCTCTGAACAAGTCAGCATGAGAATGCTTTAGAAATAGTCATCATATAATCTCATATGAGGCCATCCACTCAGGAGAAATGAGCGTGATAGAATTCAGTCCTGTTTAGGAAACTATTAAAGAAAAAAAAAAGACTGCTAGCCATCAGTGATTTAACAAGAGCATTTTTCTATGAAATATTAGAAGGGGACTCTCTGGCAGCAGCGATAAAGTAACTGGCCTACCTTCATCTCCTCCGTTTAGGGAACAGTAAATTGAAGAGTTATTTACCTAGGACTTCAATGCCTTTGTCAGGACCAAGTTAATAAAAGACCAGGAAATTCTTGATTTAACTGGATATGGAGTGTTTTATAGACAGGGCTACACATTTGGTGTTGTTACATTTTTGCACATCTCAGTTGACACATTCCATATTCCCCAGTGATGTGGGGGGCATCTCAAGTTAACTAAAAATCACCCGGCTTCTAGCTTACCTGCCCTTCACCCCTATTTGTTAGGCATTATACTACTCAGGAGATACACTAATAAAACTGTGCAAATAAAATCCACTTTTCATTTAAATTGCAACAGTATCATGTTATAGTATGACTTTATACATATTCCAGTCAAATAATTACATAAATTAAAAAAACACACACCAGCCCTAGCTGGTGTGGCTCAGTGGGATCAAGTGCCTGACCTGTGAACCTAAGGGTCACTGGGTTGATTCCCCATTTAGGGCACATGCCTGGGTTGTGGGCTGGGTCCCTGGTAGGGGAGCATGCAAGAGGCAACCACACATTGATGTTCCTCTCCCTCTGTCTCTGTCGAAATAAAATCTTTCAAAAATAAAGTTCCTTACTCACACTAGCCATATTGAGGTATTTAGTAGCCAGAGAACATTTGTATCATTAAACACTCACAAATCAGAATACAACAGAAGTTTAAATGGCCTCACATTTATTAATGAACCAACCTACTACTGAAGGAAAAATGTCAAGGAAAAAAAAATAATCCAATTCCCAATAAAATGCCAAACTGTCCCCACAGCGGTGGTCTTTTCAGTGACTTCGAGAGGCAGACAACATGAATAGAGCGTAAATATGAGACATCTCTGATGTGCCCTTCCTTATAGAACCAGTTTGGTTCTTCTCCAATGTCATGTGCGATTCCTTATAGACCCAGTTTGGTTCTTCTCCAATGTCTCCTCTTGGAGTTGTACCTACATAGAAGAAAATTGCAAGTTACAAAGACAGTCTGACCTTAATTTAGCTGCCCTCCTCGTTCAGCATAAACTTCGTCCTTTAAGCACCACAGACACCTTGAAAGGCAAAGGGTCCCACTTTTTCCTTCCTTCAACAAGTTTTGGAGCTCTTTTTGGAGAGTAAAAAATGATTTGCTAGATGTTTAAGAACTAGTCAAATCAAATTTTTACCTCTCAAAATGATTCCACGGTAGGAAATCACACTGGTTCTCGGTTGGTGTGGGAGCAGTGGGGAAGCTCTCCCTTCCCCAAGTGTACACTCACTCACCTGTGATTCAGCAGCTGTAGGGCAGACCCAGGCAGACATGTATATCTTGAATCCCCCTACTTTCTGAACTACATCAAAAAGTCATTTCTACATAATGGGTCACACATACATATAAAAGTTCCTGTATAATTTTTATAATACATTAACATTCAGTCACTTCAACACCCAAAGTGATTTGCAGAGATAAGGCCACCTCAGAATTGTCCATGTCAGTCCATCGTGATTTTACCCTCATGAAGGCAAAATCAAAAATGATCAACACAAGATTTTCTTTCAGCAGGATAATGACAGTATTTCCACAAAATGAAGCACTGTAATTGCAACCTGCTTTCAATACATTTTTAAAAGATTTTATTTTTAGAGGGGGAGGGAGAGAGAGGGAAACATCTATGTGTGAGATACATTGATTGCCTACCTCTTACACACCCCCTACTGGGGACCTGGCCCACAACCCAGGAAGGTGCCCTGACTGGGAATCGAACCACGACCTTTCAGTCCACAGGCTGGCACTCAGTCCACTGAGCTACACCAGCCAGGGTTCAATACATTTTTATCTTCACCCAAGGGTATATTTAGCAATTTTTAAAGAGGAAGGAGAAATGCTGATCAGCTACTTCCTGTACAGGCCCCCACCAGGGATCAAACCCACAACCTTTTTGGTGTATGGGATGATGCTCTAATCAACTGAGCCACCTGGCCAGGACTGTGTTCAATACATTTTAAAAGTTGGAAGACAGCAAAGACAATAGAAAAATCATTCTACTGTGCCAATTCCCTGGGCCAAGAGTGTGCAATGTTAAATACAAAGTGCACAGAACAAGAGGCTAATATTGATCATTGTAGGCCCCCTTCCATTGAGCTAGGCACTGAGCTTCACTTACATTTCTTTCATTCCTTAAAACAACCTATAACATAAAGGCAGGTCCCACCATCACTGGATAGAGAAACTGATGTTCATGTTGTTACATTAGAGAAGGGGGGAGGAGAGTGACTTTACTATGGATGTCTGATGCTCTCAACAGAAATCCATCAAACTTGTAGCAGGGCTGAACTGCCAAACAAAGCACTTCAGCAACTGACTCAATGCTTTTTTTTCTCAGTACCGTAGGATGGTAACACCATGTGCTTTAAATTCTAACTGTAGCCCTGACCGGTATGGCTCAGCTGGTTGGGCCTTGTACCACAAAGTGAAAGCTCACCAGTTCTATTCCTGGTTTGGGCACATGCCTGGGATGCAGGTTTGGTCCTGCTCAGGCTGTACAACGGACAACCAAATGATGTTTCTCTCCCTCTTTCCCCCCCTTCCCCTTTCTGTAAGAAATAAATATTTAAATTCTAGCTTCCCCAGTAACGAGACATCCCCTACACATTAATATGCATAAATAAAAGCTAACATCTAGTACCCAATAAACCAAAGGTAGCAAACAACTGGCATATAGTGGGTAGCAATTTTCACGTCGCTGTTTAACACACCAAGGCTGTCACTGGCTGTGAGCCCTTGGAGTTGGCCTAGATGACTTTGACTGGCGGTCCTTTGTAGCAAAGTCTTTCTTCCAAAGCCATCAATTCAACTATTTCTGCAGTGGAGAACAATATTCCAATCTTTAAAAAGATAAACATTTCAAAGATGGATTAGGTAAGCATCATGGTCTTTCCCGCTGGGATGTGTAATGAGACAGCCCTTAATCTTTTGTTCTGGCCCACACCAAAGACAACCCAGAACTTTGCTATGCAGAAATCCAGAGGAAGCACATTTCAAGAATTCCCGAATAGTAGTACAGGAGAAACTGGGTTGCATATAACTTATAATTGTATATTTAGGCCCCCAAAGCAATCTTAAATTAAAAACAAAAAACAGGAGGGTGGTGTCCTTACCTGATTTTATTACCAGTTTTCATCCGAATCCACTGAGGAATGGGCCGATTCTGCTTTTGTTTCTTGGCCAGGAACCTCTTGATCCTGAAAGTCTTGTGAGAAGACTGGAAAGGATATGCAATCAATTTACACAGTAATACCAGAAATTGCTAAAAATATTCAAATGCAAGAATTCCCTCAACCCAACAAACATCTGAATGCTTAATATACACCAAAACCTACCCTCTAAGTGCCAAATCCCTTCCACCCTTTGTTTCGTTCCTTGCAACAGCTCTGGAGGCAGATACCATAATTCCTACTGTTCAAATAAATGAACAAATAAATAAACCAGAGCCGTGGAGGTATGTTACCTAACCCCAAAGAAAAGGATTACAGTGCAGAGCTGGGATTCAAACCCCAGATCCTCTGTGCTCTGAGGTTAGGGCACCTTCCTGTCTTCCCTAGGACCACAGGGGGCATGGTAAGAGCTGGGGAACTTGGGTTTTGAAGAAAGAACACAGCACTTAGTAAACCAAATAATGTATAACATGCAACCCAGTCTCAATGCCCTTCTTTGTAAAACAGGACTACCCACATTCTAGCGTCACTGTGAAAATAATTAAGATTTACACAACGTCCCCTGCATTCAGTAGATCTGTTACAACCCGATCATTTTGACACTAATTCTAATGCTATTTTTTTTAAGGTTTTATTTTTAAAGAGAGGGAAAGGAAGGGAGGAAAAAAAAGAATCATCAACATGTGGTTGCCTCTCACCCACCCTACACTGGGAACCTGGGCTGCAACCCAGGTATGTGCCCTGACCGGAACCGAACCGGTGACCTTTAGGCTCACAGGCTGGTGCTCAATTCACTGAGCCACACCATTCGGGGCCTAATGCTATTTAAAATGGCGCTTTTCCAAGACTGACTTTCCCCATTTCCCTTCGCATCTACTGGCTTTCATGAAAAACTCTGATAATGTACATCCAACCACAACCATCCCATGCCCATTTGTAGTGCAATCTGGAGAAATAGCACGAATGATGGTCTAAAGTAAGTCTGGCCAACGCGACCCAACACACCCTTGAACAACAGGAGCCGTTGTAAAAGACTACACCCCTCTCCCCCAGCATTTGTTAATTAAATTTCCTGTCAACTATTCAAACTATCAAGCAGCAAATACTAATCCTCTCCACGCCTAGAAACCTATAAAGAATTTTAACTTCTAAGGAAACCTATAAAGAATTTTAACTTCTAAGGGAACCATCACAGGAAAAACCCACAAGAGCGACTGTACGCAGTTGGCATTTTACAAGAACGCCCAAACGGCATGTAAGTTCACATCACAGCACTCCTTGTTTTAGGCGCTTCTACGGGATGAAGCTCAAGTTCCTGAACAAAAAACTTTAAAAAGTCCCCAAAACTCATAATGTGCTAAGGTCCCAGTCGCCAAGTTAAAAAACTTTACGAAAATCAGCACCCCACATTCTATTGTTGGTGCCAGGGACTTGTAGCAGGCGGCCCACAGTCAGGCCACGATTTCTGCAGTGCCCCCCCACCACCACGCCGACTTCTCTAATCTGCCTGAAAATTACAGTTCGCTCCCAGAAAAGGGCGAAGGGAAGCGGAAGCCTGACCACCTGGGCGGCGGCTTGGAATACAGTGCACCCCTTTCAGACCTCGTGGCGCCAGCGCGGCCCGCTCCTTCCTAGGTGCTTCATGGCTCACTAGCTTCCCGCCAGGCCCACCGACTAGAGCGGTGACCAAACTCGACCTTCTCTGCAAAAAGCCTCTAAAAGGGCCCCGCACCTAGCCTCAAAACACGGCGCAGGCGAGCTGGCGTAAGACCTCACCCCTTGGGAAGCCACCCTCGGGCCGATGGAAAAGGATGCGCTTACCATGGCGAAGAAGAACGAACCGCACAGACCACAATGGCGGAGAAAGAGAGAGAAGGAAGCGGAAAGACGCGTTTACACCCTGCGTACGGGGGCGGGCCTGGGGGCGGGGCTGGGAAATGACGCAGGCGTTCACCACCTCCTCCTGACATGCCCCCCCCCCGCCACGCACTCCCGTGGACTTGTGGGAAACAGGGCTCATTTCTGTGAAATAGAATTTGCTTTGTGTGTCTTCTGTAAATGAGTTCTTTGGAGTACGTCATTGTGCCGGGAGCACCTGCTTCGCGGGTGAGGGCCACGGCCATTATAAATGCCAACGCAGAAGCCCTTCGGAAGGCGGGCAGAGCGGAGTGGGCGGGTGTAACTCCAAAGGAAGAGGGAGGGACATCAAATCTGAGCGCGACACGTTTCTGTCTGCGTTTGGGCGGGTGCGCGTGAGAGACAGGCCTGGGAACACCTTTTCTTGATAGTTTGAAATAAAGTTGACCCTGGAACAATACGTTTTTGAACTGTGTGTGCCCACCTATACGTGGGTTTTTTTCAAACTGGAAGAAAAGGGGCCATATACTAACATGACTCTGTTAGGGGGAGGCCTGCGTGGCAGCCTCCAACGCAGAGACCTAAAGCAACCACAAAGGATGGTCTGAAATAAAAACGTATTGCCCTGATTGGTGTGGCTCAGTGGGTTGGGCTGTGTCCAGCAAACCGAAAGTTCCTGGGTCTGATTCCTGATCAGGGCACAGGTCTGGGTAGCCGGCCAGGTCCCTCGTTGGGGGGCGAGCAAGAGGCAGTGGATAGATATTTCTGTGGCAAATCCACAGGCGCCACACCAGAAGGAGACCACAACTCCTCTCATTGTTACTATTATTGTGCTAATTGTTGACTGTAAACTCCTATACCCACCTTTGTAAAAGTGTCTATCATTTTACTTTTTCCTAATCCCAAAGGATCCCCCCCAAAATCCCCCCTCCTTGCTTTTTCTGGCCTCCCTAATCTATCACCAGTGGATATCATGTAAACCACTTACGTCTTCTCTTTTAATTGTAACGTATGGTGCAAAACTGCCACTTTCCAGAGCATTTTCTCAATCTGTTGAGATTTTGTTTCCTGGCAATTGTCAGTTTGGCTAAAATAAACTCACAAAAATTCTCTACAGGTCTGAGTGTTTCTTACATTGACAAAACAATATACAGTCAGTGCTCTGTGTTCCCTGGTTTCACATCCTTGAGTTCAACCTAAACAGTATTTTCGATCTACAGTTTGCAGTCCTGGGATGCAGATGTGGAAGGCCAACTGTATGAATGGTTCTACAACTGTATGCATGGTTCTACAACTGTATGCATTGTTTTATGCCATTTTATATAAAATGGACTTAAGCATCTGTGGATTTTGGTATGGGGGCAGGGGTCCTGGAACCAATCCCCTGGTGGATAGCAAAGGAGGATTGAGCTTTTGAGGAGTCAAAAGTTATGTGGATTTTTGACTGGCCGGGGCTGGACCAGGTGGACCCTGTAAGACTAGAGACGGTCATAGAGCTATCTAGGGAAGAGGTTACTGATCAAGGTTTTAAGCTGAGAAAGTTCTGGACAGAACCGTTTCCTTGGCTGCCAGGAAGCCCAGACTGACTTTGTAGTTGCCTTTTGGTAAAATCTATAGAAATTAATGACAATGTTTTGGATGTTACTATTTCCATTTTCATCTTTTCCCAATTAAAAACAGAACTCTTGAGCCCCTACTGGTGTACCTCAGTGGGTTGGGCACCAGGCTGCAAAAAGAAAGGTTGCAGGTTTGATTCCCAGTCAGGGCACATGCCTGGGTTGCAGGGCAGGTCCATGGTTGGGGGCATGTGAGAGGCAACAGACCAATGTTTATCTTCCTCGCTTTCTCCTCCCCTTCCCCTTTCTCTAAAAATAAATAAAGACAGTGTTAAAAACAGAACTCTTTATGTATCGTTACAGTCATCTCAAGCATTTTTGCAATAATAGTTTAAGGTAAGGATTTTTAGCCAGGGGTCCACAAGGGTCCAGAAGAATTCACAGGGTACATGAATTTGGATGGCTCACTTCATTTTCATTAAGTTCTGAAATGTAGCATTTTCTTTATTTACAAATGTAGGCAACAAACTGCAATGGCATTAGCAGTACCTATGTCTTAGTCACCAATAGAAATCTAAGATCATTGCATATCATATTGAATTTGATGCTGTGTGGGTAGAAAAATAATTTTCCTACCATCTTTCTAAATTCTCCTAGCTGGAGTAATCAAATTAACATGGGACATTAACAGGAGGCAAACGATGAAATTTATTGTATCAGTATCTACAGAGGTTCCAGAAGAATATAAGATCCAATGACTTATTGAGCAATTGAAGCTCATATGTCATTTGGGACTAAGGAGAGGGAGATAAGTCTGGGGCCTCAAAGGGAAAGTAGGCAACTTACAGGTAGATGAGAAAGTGCAGGTATTTGGTAAATAAATTTTTGCCTGGTCACCCAGAAATCATGGGGAATCTAACAGATTTTGCAGGTTCCTCCCTGTGTGCCACACTTAGATCTTCTTACGCTAAGGTGACAGCCTCCTTCCAGTAGGCAGGTTTTTATACCTGAATTCCTTTAGTCAGGTAAAGAGAAAGGTAAAAAAAAAAAAAAGAAACATTATCCTTGAGTTTGTTGCACTTGCACTGTTTTCAGCTTGAAATAATCTGCATGCCTACAATGCAGATGTCTTGAAATATCACATATATACCCATCACTTGTTTGAAGTTACAGTAGTTATTAGAATCATAAGTAGAACTGTAAAGAAGACCATGTGTTGCTATAGCACTTATTTCTTCCAGAAAATATTTTGATAACTATACTGTAGTGTAATTGGTTTTCTTCGTAATCCTAAGTACTTCATTTTCTTAATACTCGCTGAGGATGTTTTTTGATTTTAGAGAGAGAGGAAGGGAGGGAAGGGGGAAGGGAGAAAAATAGAGAGACATCAATGTGAGAGAGAAATATCAGTTGTCCCTTGTATGTGCTTCAACTGGGGATCAAATCTGCACTCTAGGTATGTGCCCTGACTGGGAATCAAACCCACAACCTTTTGGTGTTCAGGACGACACTCCAAAGAATTGAAACACCTCACCAGGGCCTGTGTACTTTGTGTTTAAAACATTCTGAAAATAATTCTATAAACTTCATCAGACTGCCATAAGTTTCCATGGCACAAAAATGGTTACAAATCCAGATTGAAATATAGTGACAAATGGTAGAACAAACAAACTAGGTAGAAATATTCTGGGCAAGAAAGGATGATGGCCCTAAGTAAGATAGTCCCAATGATGTTGAATAAGAAGAAATAAAATCAAGAAATGATTTTGAAAAAACATTAATAGGATGTGGTTGCACGTTTCAGTCTTGGGCAACTGAATGCGAGTGCCTTGGGTTTAGAGAGGAAATGCAGAAGTCATGAGAAGCTTGAGCCCAATTTCATAATTACTGTTTTTTAACAATGGAAGTTTTATTACATTAATCCCATCCAGATATTTTTACATTTAATTGAAGTGAGAGACCTCAGGTTTTGTAACCTGAATTCTATCTATCATCTACTCATTCATTCATTTGCTTATGAACCAGTCTTTTAATTTTGGTGGCCACAGGAACAGCAAATAGACCCTTAGTTGATGCAATTACCATCATCATCTTCATCACAGAAATCTAAGATCATTTCACTTCAAATTGAAGTTGATGCTGTAGGGGCAGAAATATAATTTTAGGGCCTTTACTGAGGTGATTAAGTTAAGATTAAGTTAAGTTAAGACATTGCACAACATACTAGCTATGTGACTTTGGATACATAAATTAGCCCATCTGTGCCTCAGTCCTCTCTTCTGTAAAATTGGGATAAATAATATTTCTTAACTCATTGTCTTGTGACAAGGATACAGAGTCACTGTCAGAATATAATAAGCACATTGTTAACTATGAGTTAATATATACCAACGCATAATAGGCACCAAACTCAGTAAACAAGCAGCCCTGATTACTTTCATTCCCTTGTATTGAAACCAGGCTGATAGTGCTAGGAACCATAAAAAAAGTGTACAAGCAAGTATAAGAATGGGGAATTTTGGCCAAGATGGAGGTGTAGGTAGATATGCTTTGCTTCCTTGAACAACCAAAGGAAGGACAATAACAAATTTAAAAAACAAAAAACAACCAGAACTGACAGAAAACTGTATGGAAGTCTGACGACCAAGGAGTCAAAGAAGAAACATTCACCCAGACTTGTAGGAAGGGCAGAAATGGACAGCTGGGGTGGGGAGGACTCGCAGCAAGGGAGTCCGACTATGGGCAGGTGAGGCGGCCACTGGCAGACCAGGCAGTCCCGCATTCACGTGCGGATAACTGGGAGGAGCAACTGGGGAATGAGACAAACCGCACAACCCAGGGTTCCAGTGCTGGGAAAATAAAGACTGAAAACCTTTGGTGGTAAAAACATGTGGGTGTTGTGGCAGCAGGAGACACTCCCAGCCTCACAGGAAAGTTCACTGGAGAGACCCACAGAGTCCTAGAATGTTCACAAACCCACCCACCCAGGAATCAGAGCCAGAAGGGCCCAACTGGCTCGTGGGAAGCGGGGAAAGTGACCGAAAGCCTTCTGAGAGCTGAGCAAGTAGCATTGTTCCCTCTTGGACCCATCCCCGCCAGACAGAGCTGCAATTGGGTATGAAGACCCAATGCAGCAAGGTGGGTTGCTGTTCCCTGGGGAATACCTAGGGCTCAGCCCCTTACTACATAACAGGCATGCCAAGACAAAGAAATATGGCTCCAATGAAAGAACAGATCAAAACTCCAGAGAAAGAAGTAAGCAACAAGGAGATAGCCAACCTATCAGATGTGGAGTTCAAAACACTGGTAATCAGGATGATAACAGAAGTGATTGAGTATGGCCCTGGCTGGTGTAGCTCAGAGGATTGAGTGCCAGTCTGTAAATCAGAGGGTTACCTGTTTGATTCCTAGTCAGGGCACATGGCTGGGTTACAAGCCAGCTCCCCAGTAGGGGGCATGTGAGAGGCAACCACACATTGATGTTTCTCTCCCTCTCTTT